CACCCACCCACGCAAACAGGCAGGCACCCAGGTAGGCAGGCACCCACCCAGGCAGGCAGGCACCCACCCACCCAGGCAGGTAGGCAGGCAGGCACCCACCCACGCAAACAGGCAGGCACCCACCCAGGCAGGCACCCACCCAGGCAGGCACCCACCCAGGCATCAGTTTGTTTCTTAGTATTTCTTCAGCTCAAGTTATCAGCATTTTGTGTCCCCCCTACATCCGTGCGGAGACCATAGATGTTTTGCTGCCAAGAGGAGGAAGTTTACCGTCTGTCAGGTGAACTGGTTTCAAGTTTTGTGGTGGAAACTTTTTATCTGTCTTAAATTCATTTCTGTGCCATTCAGAGGAAGGTATGAGGCGTTTCTGCCATAGTAGCTCGTCGTTCTTTATTTTAAGCTGTGTATTATCACTTTTAAGGGTCTTTATTTTGTCTTCGCAATAAGCATTTTTCTGCTGCAAAACCACAATATCGTTTTGGAGGGCCCAGTTAGCTTTTTGGTTTAGCCTCTGCTGATGAAGATCAGATCTCAGTTTCTGGATTTGAGATTCTTTTTCTTCAAGATTTCTTTCTAAATCTTTTTGCTTCTCAAGTTGTTTTATAGTACCCGGGGATCTAAAGTCTAGCTTGAGTTGAAGGTGCTGCGAAAAAAACTGTTTTGTAGCTTTCAGGGTATCATTGTCTTGCTTTTGAAGACACTTCTTAAACTCTCCCCTCAGCACTTGAGCACTTAGTTCCCCTGATTCCTGTTGTTGTGGACGTGTTCTGGAAGGTTCTGCTGTTCTCCCTGATTCCTGTTGTTGTGGATGTGTACTGGAAGGTTTAGACGGTTTTGCTGTTTGTCGTTGAAGGAGGGACATATTTTTATATGCTTCTTTCAACTGGTTAAAGTCATTCCAAAGTTGATTGAGTTGTCTATCTTTATTTAACAACATTTCTTCCTGTTTGTCCACCACTGCAGTCAGCGTTTTGTTCTCCTGTTCTGTTTGATTTAAATATTCCCCAAGCAGAGATTCCTTTTTCAAAGCAGAAATCGTTGTTTCATCTAGAGATTTTTTTAAATCTTCTAGTTTGATTTTGTTGTGTGACATCTGCGTTTTCAAAGTGTCATTTTCTGTGTGCAGTTTTTTGTTCTCCTTCTGATTTTCTGACAAGTCTTTAACTTTATTAAATAACTCTTTGTGCAGAGTCTGATTTTCCTTTTTTTCTGTTTGGATGTCTGTATTTTTTCTCTCCACCTCTTTTTTGGCGATCATAGTCTCGTTTTTTGACGATGACAGGTCTCTCTTATATTTTTGTTCTACTTCCATGGATTGAAGGTAAGCTTTGTTTACATCATACAGGGTTCTAAAATCTCTCTCCTCATTGTGCTTCACGACAGAAATGAAATGCTTATTTTTATTTAGATTAACCTGATCTTTTTTCTTTGCAATCTCCTCCATGTTTTTTACAGTGTAACAAAGTCTTTCGATCTCCTTCTTCTGACTAGATATTTTTTTTCTGCATTCGTCGACTTCTTTCTTGTAACCATGAATTTCAAGCTGATAACCTTCACTTGCCTCTGAAAGTTTATCATTTGTTTCATTGAGACTCTCAATCTCTTTCAAATGATAAGCTATTTTCCTTTTGAAACCTTTATTTTCTTCCTGGCATGTTTTAAGGTTTTCCTGGGATGTAGAAAGCATTGCCCTACATTTAGTCAGCGATTTTAATAAACTTTGTCTAGTTTGGATGCTAGTGTCAAGCCTCTTCTGATTCTCTCTTTCATCATGGACCAGCTTTTGTAAACTGTCAGCGCGTTCAGTTTGTGCTCTGATATGGTTTTTTAGAGAATCAATCTGGAGGTGAGAGTTTTTGATGGACTTTAAGTGCTCAGCTCGCTCTTCTTCCAGCCTTTGAATCTTAGAGCGGCCATCTTTACAGTCGTTTTCACTATTTTGAAGCAAACAACACATATTTTCACGAGCTTCTTTTTCGTTTGAATATTGACGTAAAATTTCTGCGTTCTGCATTTTAAGGTTTTCAATCTCTGCATCTTTACTTTTGGCTAAATCCTTAAAATTAGCTTCATGATTCTGAACTAACGCCTTTAAATCGCGTATTTCATTAGTTAAGGAGATAAACACTTCACGGTTTAATTCCTCCATAAGCTCTTTTTCAACTGTAAACGGGACAGTCTGAACGTTCACAGAAGATGCAGACGAAGACGGTTGGTTTTCTCCAAACTYGGACAATCCTGTCAATTCCTCGTTCTTGTTTGATCCATCCATTGTCTGAGATTTGATAAAGGTTGGATTTTTAAACAAAAAAGTCTGACCAAACTGGTTGAAAAATACCAGAAACTAAGATAAAACTTTACTGATCCCAAATATATGGTCACTTTTGTGTGTGACGTCACATGTACGTCATATGCATAAATTACATAAATTTCCATAAATGGAATGCGTCGCCTCTGCCGGATATGTGACGTCATACGTAAAAGAACGCATTCCGTTGGTCGCTCTCTCCTCCCTTCCTTCCTTTTTCTCTGCGACACAAAAAAGCGCAGCCGAGCAGCACACACACACACACACACACACACACAC